AGACATGCAATCAAAGGTCTAGATTTTACCCTATATACGGACCATAAGCCTCTTACATATGCTTTGCATACTAAGTCTGACCGTTACTCACCCCAAGAAATCGGACACTTAGACTATATTTCCCAGTTCACGACTGACATTCGGCATGTCCAAGGCAAGTCGAATTGTGTTGCGGACGCCTTATCACGCATTCACTGTAATGCGATAAAGTCCCCCTTAGATATCAGTGATATGGCTGACGCCCAAACAAATGATTCATCCTGCGAAAAGGCAGTCCATTCAACTTCCTTAAGATATTAGGTGACACCGTTAACGACTTCTAATGGTACCATCCTATATGACATGTCTACAGTTCTACCTCTACCAGTAGTACCCTCATCCTATCGTCGTTTAGTTTTCGACACCTCACATGGTTTATCACACCCAGGCATCGCAGCAACACTTCGTTTAACTGCTGCACGATACTTCTGGCCATCCATGAATAAGGACATTTGAATATGGGCTAAATAGTGTTTACAGTGTCAACGATTCAAAGTGCACAGACACGTATCTGCACCTATTGGTAAGTTTTCTACGCCTGATGCTCGCTTTGGTCACATTCACATCGATATTGTAGGCCCATTACCACCGTCATACGGGTATACTCATTTACTCACGTGTATTGATGGGTTCACTGGATGGCCTCAGGCTATTCCCATCTCTACTGTTATGGATGAAACAGTGGCTCAACATTTCATAGAACGATGAATAACACCCTACGGTGGTGCTTCTACTATCACGACTGACAGAAGAGCACAATTCGGATCAGAATTATTCTCTTCGCTAACATGATTGCTGGGTACAGAACGCATCCGCACAACTGCTTACCATCCAGCATCTAACGGTCTAGTCGAACGTTTTCACCGTCAACCTAAAGGTGCCCTTCGGGCACACGAGAACCTTAATTGGTACGAGACTTTATTTCTTATTCTGTTAGGCATCAGAACATGTGTAAAGATAGATATCCAATGTACAGCTACTGAGCTGGTTTTCGGCAGTACATTACGACTACCTGGGGAATTTTTCTCGCCACGCAACATGGATTCCATTGGAATACAAGACTATGTGCAACGTTTGTCTAAGTTTATGCAATCCTTGTCTCCAGCACAAACTCCAACACAGCAACGGAAGATGTTCATATTGTAACGTTCCGCACAGACTTGAAACTCCCGCACTAATGTGATGTACCTTTCTTCCCT